CCACAATCCCAGCCACCCCACCCCCCCGCCCCAAACCAGTACATTTGAATATAAAAATATGCTTGCCATCTATTCAGATGTGTTTTTTCAAATCATGTAATCTAATTTCAAGTGTAGCTAAACGCATTTAGCGTGATCACTGTAATATTATTTTTTCTTTATGTTGGTAGTCCAGACTGATAATGGGGAAAAAAAAGATTTTCATCTTCAGATTGTTGTACAGAAAATGAAATTATCTTGTATTTTAAAGTCAGCTTTTTAATAATTAGATGACTTGAGGAGGTGGTAGATGTATTTCCCAGCCTCATCCCACTAATAGAATATCTTCATTCTGCATCTGAGGAGGTTTCTGTATTTGCACAGGTGGTGGCATCAAATCTCTTGCTTAGTGTTGGAACATGCATTCTTAGTGCAGTGCAATAATATTTCTACTAAAAGACATTTTTTAAAAAAAAAATATCGAGGAGCTATTGTGTGACCCAGTTGAAAAGGAGCTATTTTCCGGAAAAATGCTAACAATATCAGAAGGCATTTATTTTTATTTTTCAGCCATTCAAATAATGAATGTGCTAAATCCTAATGGTCTAAACTCCATTATCCTGTCGTGAGTATATGTGCTGTATTAGGAAGTATACATATCCTTTAATTCTTTATGCAAAAGGACAATTCACAAATGCATGAAAGTTCACAAATGTTCTGTCTTGCAGAAAAGAAACTGCATCTCTTACACCCAGTTATGCCTATTTGTGTACTTACACAGTTTTCCACAAGAGGGAAGAGTGGTCCTTCATAACGACAGACTGTGGCTTTACTTGGCCAGTGAAGAGATGGGACAGGAAACCAGTCACTGAAAGAGCAGCACAGATATTTCTTTTCATATGTTCTCTGGTGTAATGATGATAATATTACACACGCTGTACAGAAATTACACTTTCACCTTTCACCTTGACTGGATAGCTAGCTAACACTTTTTCTTGTGGTTTCTGCTGGAGCTTCACAGTCAGTCTTACCCTGCTGAAGAGAGGTGTTATTTCCAGGTAGAGCAACTCTCTCGTCCATCTTCCTGAGCAGATTTATCCCACCACCAAGTGACGTTCAGGTGGCAGCCATCTGAATTGGCATATGGACAGTACAGTGTTGGTCATAGGAGGACGTAAATAATGAGCATGTAATTTGTGCTGAATATGTAAGGCTATGCAAAAGTCTGGAAAAACACTAGGAAAACCTCCTACGTGAAACATTTGTTGTAGCAAGCTAATCCTGCTGTTTATGGGAGATGGAGGCATATGTAGTTAACTTCTTGGAAAGTCATTATTTCATGTTTGTCAGCACCCTGCAAATCTGACTTTAAGTTCTTGGTTTGCAAATCTACTCTGTTGTGGCTTTAGATAGGCTATCAGGTTTATTTTACATGTTAGAAGGCAGTATAGGTTAAGCTTCCAAGCATGTGGAGTCCTTTGCAAATTGCTTGAAAATGAGGCTGTGCAATGGGATTCCAGGTCAGTATCCCCAACAACAGTTAAAATATGGTATTGTGATTTAAGTGGAATTCTGGTATCTGCATCCCTTTGCTGCAAAATGCTTTTAAAAGTGCCAGATGCACATTACAAAATTTATCTGAGCAATTTCCTTCTGGATGGTGACCAAGTTCTTCTTGTATTTACCTCTTATATATATTTAGTTATATCAAAACACAACTGTCCAGTATTTAAAGTTTGTTTGATCTTATTTTTGAGACAAAAACAGATGAATAAATGAAGTGTGGTTGCTACATCAACTGAATATTAACATTGTCGTCTCTCTGGAGTTCGAAGAGCCAAATGGCTTCTGCAGTAAAAAGGCCACAGGCTTAGCTGAACTTCTTGAAATATCAGTTCTGAAAATTTGAACTTTCTATCTGTCATTGTTTCTGATACCTAATGTGTTATCTATTAAACTATCAGATTCCTCTGCTCTTTTACAGAGTTTTTGAATCTAAATTTTTCTATTGTGGGGAAACGGTTAGGTGCATAGCAGAAAAATTAATTTCTTTAAGGGAACTCTTTTAACATTAACTTGCAGAACAGAGTAGCTGTTTTTCAGAGTGCTTTTTAACACATTCATGTCTGATAAATTTCATGCAGGAGCGATCCTAACTTGCTGTTTCAGGGGGATGGAAATCCAATATGTGTGTTTGAAAATACAGTTGTTATGTAGCTTAATAGTTCTTCGTCACCTCAACAATAGTTTGAGGTAGTGAACTGTTCTCAGCTAAATGTCTTTTAGCTGAATATACTGAGGAAGTAACAAATATTCTGGAAACTCTCATCCATGACACTTGTCCTCAATAAATGTGTTTTGCTAGATTGCTAAGCATTTTTAAAAATAATTGATTTCTTGTTTAAGTTGGAGTAACTGTGTCCTTATGCCTTGGATTTTAATATTATAAAATATTTAGTTTGGATCTCAGATATCTAATGTGAATTCACTGTAGTAAAATGAATGGTTTAAAGACCCAGATACAGATACGTGTATTTTTTTAAATTGAATATCTAAAACTATGATTAATTAACATTACTAGGAACATAACTTGATGGCATGTTTATCAGAAACTATTCAAAGTTAATAGCCCACCTTGTTTGCAGCCTAGTGTTTTTGTTTTGGTTTTTTTTAAAGTATTCTTTGGAGATCACTCATTTTACAGTAAGATGGTCATGTTCAAATAATGAAATTCCAGAATATGGCTCATATTTCTATCCATTTGGGGAACTTGATATTATTAGCATTGTCTAGTATGTTAATTAGTACATTATATATAGTAATATGCAGTAGTCAAATAAAAGATACAGAGGCCTATCAGTTTAAGATAATTATCAGTACTGCTCAATTCATTTTCAATTACGGCACTCTAGTAAAATTGGCAGTGTGTGTCAGGCAATAACAGTTGGTGCTTGATAAGCACATTAACAGGCATGAGGGTGCTTTAGAGGTGGCAATTATTTAACTGTAAAAAAATTTTTGTTTTGGAAGCGTGCAACAAGCATATTGGGAACTGAAGAGAGAAATGTCTAATTTGCGCCTGGTGACTGACGTGCAGGCTGAGGTTCTACGAAAACTGAAAACCAACCCAACAGCGACCAAGAAAGGCAAGTCAGTGTTTGCACTAACAGGCCTTACACACGCACAACATTGGCTCAGGCTGTGCCATTTGCAAAAGTTACTAGCTATCATATCTTATCAGAATCTCATCAATTGAAGTTGATAAGCTAGACTGTATCATGGTTCCATCCTACCCGTTTTCTGCTTTTGCCTCTGTCTCATACTGGTCAACTTCACACATAAAGGTGTTGCTGATGTGTTTTTTCTCCAGTACTGTATTCTGTTCCCCTTGTGGCTTTTTTCTCAGTCAAGTGTTGCTTATGTGCACAAGGCTGAGGTGTTAAGTTTACTCGTATTTGACCTTTTACCACAACTACTTCATATTAGGGGGGAAAAAAAAGCCTTTTTTGCAAACACAGTCTTATTTTCCCAGCACAGAATATATAAAGTATTAATTTGACAACATTTTAAAATCAGACTTTAATAGACCGAACTGCCCTTATGGTTGCATATTTCTGTATGCTGGTGTTCAGAGGAGTTGTATTTTCTATCAAAATTCTATGCAAGATGACATTTTCTGAATGTTGAATACTGAGCCTGCAAGACTGCCTTACTTATGGTGTTACACTGCAAATAATGCAGGGGAAAACAATTTCCACTTACAGCATGCATAATTTCTGTGAGCAGTTCATCAGATGGTTCTTCTAGTTCATACATATGTTTCTCTCAAGCCAAGTGCTTCACAAGAGTTCTTACTCTGGTGGGGTCAGACTACCAGTCTGTTCCTCACAGTGCTTGTTTCCTTTGTTTTCTGCTCACTTGGGTTGTGGCATTTACTGTGTTCAGAATACAGAAGACACCAGTAAAGAACTGTGAACTTGGTTATAGTGTATTGGTGACAGTCTCTGATGTCCTTGCCCATTACAAGATGGGGACATTTTGTTTCTAAACAGCTTTGATTGGCTCAGTGTGGTAATAAGATTCACCTCCAGGTCAATCACTGCCTTAGTAGCCAGCAGTGATTAATGATCACTCTGGTTTTTGGCTGATAAACTATCAACATACTTTGCAGACTTGGTCCTGTTGTTACCAGGTGAGTCCGTGTTCTTAAAATTCTAAGCCACATTTGTCAAATAACTTCAGCAAAGAAACTGGGAACTCAAGGAGTTCTAATCCTTAAGTCTGTCGAGGTTTCAAGGTTTGATGTGAACATGTAGTGTCTTTCTGTCCTTAATCTGAATTCAGCATTATCTTTCTTGCCACTACACAAGTATCAATTTTTCTTTGCTTTTTGATGAAGTCTGACTTTTTGCTGTTGCTTAAAGCAGTTGTACATCCACAGCTATAAAAGGCACGACTGACTGTTTGGGAAACACGGCATTTTTGCCTCTTGCTCTGTAGGCTTTTCTCAGTAATTTTTCAGAAGTAGGTAAGAGTGGACAGGCTCAGCAGAAATGAAAACTTCAGTTATTTTTTTTCTGTTTAGCTTGCTTGTCAGCCACAATTAGGAATGCAGTACAGGTACTTCTGTGCTTATTTTAACAGAAAAATCGCAGCTCATGCAAAATATGGTTAAAATTAACTTAAAACTCCCCCTTCCTATACCTGTTAGTACTAGCTGTTTTACCATACACAAACTAGTTGCTGCTGTAAGAGCTGTGTAAAGTCTGCAGAACACAATGTGATTAATTGCTCTGTATGTAATGTTAACAGTCTCAATTAACATGTGAATTCTACTTGGCTGTCATTTAGGTATGGAGGCATTTTCAACAAATGGGCCTGCTCTTTTTCCCCTTACATTTTCACATTTTCAATCCAGTAGGAGTGGATTCCATTTTTCTTGAACTTCTAAAGGTCTGGAGGCCTCAAATTGCTTTTACACCTGTCAGCACTAAGAGGCCAACTCCAGTCCCTTAGCATGCTGTTCAGGTGTGATGCCTGTGCTCTTGTAAAAATGCATTTGGCCAACACTTGCAAATTGGGCACTACCTTTGAATTCAGCAGTGACAAACAGAAGTTGTAATCTTTGACCAAGATACTGGGTCCTCCTTCTGGCCCTTAAGAACAAAGTTACAAATCACAGTTAGTACTCAAGATTGAAAACTGTTTTAGAAAACAACCTGCAAGATGTGAGTTTCTTTAACTGTAGGAATCATTAATCTGCTGCCATTGTGTTATGTAAATTACCACTACAAAAAAGTGAGCTGGTTGTATCTGGCCATCTGTTCAGACGTGCATTGAAGGTGCAGCTCTTTCAGGTAGATGCTGTTCTGTTTCAGAATCCTCCCCTTCCTAGCATGGCTTAAAACTCCCCTGGAATTTCACATGGCTGAACGTTGCAGTCTGTTGCTCTAGTTTCACAAGTCAGACCACGGTGGGGCACCTATGAACCTAGAACCCGCGAACACCCTGTGTTCCCCTCTTGGTGCTTCATGGACAGTGAGAATTCACGTTCTTGGCAGCTTGAGGACACAACTTGTTAAAAGAATCAGTGGAGTAGGAAGCAGCATAGTGTGTGCAAGCAGTGATCTTAATCTGGTCCATTTCCCTGAGTGCAAGGAAGTCCCCTCTGTTTCAGTGTTAATTCCAGTCTTGTCAGGAAGATTCATCAGTTTATCTGTGTTGAAGTGGGAGCTGGGGGGAGGTGTCCTCGGTGTTGGGTGTATTGTAGATGTTACAATTTCAGCATCTCCAGTTCATCTTGCAAAATCACTGAGCAGGCTAGTACATTCAGTTTCTAACTTCGAAGTAGTTGCTGAAGTAAAATGTGGTCTGGAAATCTGTCGCTTGAAAACAGGGTTTATACCCCTGCTATACTATAGCACATTTGGAGTCTGTGAAAAATGCATTAGATAATGTCATTTTAAAATCTTTTTTATCTTCTCCAGCTGCCTGTACCACACCAGTACAGTGTGTTGACTTGAACATTTCAAAGCTGAACTTGACATCTGGGGCAGTCTATAAAAAACCCTGTGAGAAGGCTGAAGTACTCTGCGATGCCGTGTGCCCCCCTCTGCCCCGGGATGGAAAGACCCCACCCGAAAGGGTGGCTCTGCAGGCACGGACAGATGAGAGACCCGTTCCAGCCAACGGCAAAACCTTTCAGGAACACCATTCTTACGGAAAGAGCTCTCTGGAGGATAACTCCTGGGTATTCCCAAGTCCTCCAAAGCCCAATGAGAATGTCTTTTGGGAAATGAGAAACAAAACAACTTTGTTAAACTGTCCAGCAGATTACCTGGATCGGTGTAACCAAAACTGTCTGCACAAGAGCTAAACAATTTTTAGACTGAACTGATGCATTTTTAGAATGCTTTTTGAAGAGGCATCTTAACGCTCAAACTTTTAAAGAGGGAAAACAAGTTGCCTGGAATGTTCTTGCTTTCTTTTTAATTGTAGTTCTGAAACAGAAAGCCTAGTCTTCCTCTGCTGTAGATCAGGAGCAAGTTCCTCGGGAATTAAAGCTGTGCTTTAACTGAGAGAAATCTAGCGTGGGGCCTAGACAGCCTTGTACTGCAAATGGCATACGTTTGCAAGAGATGGCACTGAGAAGTGACTTCTTGGAATAAAACAAAATAATCCAGTTCTGTATTTGTTTGCTATGTATACATTATTAAGAAAATACTTGGTATTCGTGTTAAAACTCATACCAGCTCTGAGCTTAATTTCTGACAGTGGCTTTTTTTCAGAACGAGACATAAAATGAAGAATTGGATTATCACTCCATTTCTCCTTTCAATTAACTTTCTGATTCTTCTGGTTTAGAAATGCTTTTTTATGTAATTTTTAAGCAAGAAAGATAAGATCTCTTTGTCAAGGTCTTGATTTATATGGGGTAGTCCCAAGATCAGAATCACTCCTAGGGTACCCTGTTTATATTGTGCCATTTTGGGCCTTATTGTGAATTGTAAAGGATCGTAAGTAATGCTGCTGAAC